AAGCTTGGGAAAAAAACCAGCCAATATGGTATTGTGATGGGTTTACCCTTGTCTGGGACTCAACTCCTCACAGCTGCTCACTCACTTTCCCCTGCTGGGTATGGGGTAGAGAATTAAAGGCTTAAAGGGAAAAAAGACTCGTGGGTTGAGATAAGAATAATTTAATAACTAAACTACAATAATATTGAAAATAATAATATATACAAATATACAAATGAGTGATACACAGTGATACTGCTCACCAACCAATGACCAAGGCTCAAATTGTTTCTGGCTAATGATCCCGGAGCAGGGAGAGTCCTGAAATTGCACTCAGAATGGACATAAGAGCCTGAGTGTCCCAGATTGAGAGCTGACCCAGGGAGGGAGATGACCCAGGGGAAGGGACCACTCCGAGAGAGCTGACATGGAAAGAGAGCTGACCCTGAGCAAGAAGGGATGAGCTTCTGGACAGCCCTCACCTACATACTGGGCATGATGTGCATGATACAGAATAGACTACTGGCCAACTTGGGTCTCAATCCAAAACCTAAAATCAAATCCTAGTCTAGTAATTGGGGCTGTGCTCCCTCCCAGCTTCTCCTGTCTGGCACAGCAGAGAAGCTGAAAACTTGACCTTGACTGTCCTGGCAACAACTATAAACATCAGCACGTTATCAGCTTTCTTCTCAGCACAAATCCAAAACACAGCTTTTTACTAGCTACTATGAAGAAAGTTAACTCTGTCTCAGCTGAACACAGGACAGGTATTCAGGGTCCCACATTTTGATTAATTAAGGAGACCAAGACTAGGAAGTCACTTCAAAAGAGGTATTCCATACTCATATGATGTATCTACTTTTAATTAAAGATGTAACAACAGTGACTTGCTGCATCACTTTGGAAGAAAATATTTCATTACTGTGTTTTTACATTTGTTTTTGCAATTGCAGAGCTATTTTCCACCCTGGTAGTTATAAGGAGAAGCCACATAACAGTGAAATCCAGCAAGGAAGGAAAACTGATAGAATTAAAATTGCAGAAAATAGGTTTAGAAAATTGTCTATTCCAAAAATTCTGTTTCTTTTGGGCATAAATCCACTGTCCTGTGTCAAGAAAATCCCCTGAGGCAGAACACTACAGTATCATACAGTAGGCTTCCTTATAAACTGCCATTTTCTTTCCAAGGCATACTGGTTTTCCAAAATGCAGAGGTCTTTTCAAACGCAAGTACCAATGCTTTTGTAGGAAATACAAAGGCCATGCAACCATGGACACTGGATGGGTGCAGCAGTTTTCCGATGAAGGTACCAGAATTCTGGGAGAACTTTCCAAACCTTGAGAAACTGGTTATCACCCTGATCCAAAATGACCCTCAGTTGGGAATAATTAAACACTTTACACTTTCACAGAGGAGAAAATAGTTGGTGGAGCAGATAACTGCTGTGCATAATATCAGATAACAGCAAGAGTGAACTACTACCAGCTGATTCAGTATTAGATAGAAGAGCACATTTCTGTGATCAGCTAAAAGTGAAGACAGTGCAGAAAGCAATTTTTTTACTAGTCTTCTTCCCCCCAAAATTAAATGTAAATAATCTTAGATTGTCACTACTGAACTTTTCATCTTATCTACCAATTCTTTTTTTTAAAGTGGTGAATACTTTTTAAGGTTAAAATTTGGTTTCAATGGCATCCTTACAGAAGAAAATCAGCTGAAGCCAACAAGCACAAAATTACTCCTAAAAACCCCAATGGTTTTATCAATTTAAATGACGGCAACAGTAGAGTCATATTCAATTATTCTTACTACCATCTTGACTCTAAAACTATGGTTTGCAATAGAAAAGTAAAGCTTAATACACTACTTTAGCATTTTTGAAACATTTAAGTACAGGCAGAAAAGTATCATTTTGTTGAATAGCACTATTTTTATGCAAATATTTAAAAATATATTTTCTGGTAAGCTAATGCATTTTATTTAATTCACACAGTATTAAGTAAAATAACACTTTGAAACTCATTATCTCTAAACTATCAGAACATGTTAATACAAAGTTCTTTTCATTCTTTCAAAGCTTTTAGTAATCTCAAAGTTCAGGAAATTACTCACTCCTACATAAAATACTAGTGACAAGATTCATTAAAGACAGACACACGCATATTTTGAAGGTTAAAATAAATAGCCATAGCTGAAATTTTCTGCAAAATTATGCAGATTTTTGCAAATAAGGAGCTTAAGTACATGGTAA